AGGCCCTGCTATCAACAAGGGCCACGACCCATTCCCCTCCGATCTGTGCCTTGAAGCGCATGGTTGCTGACCCAGCTGCCGCGACGGCGGCGATGGCGGAGATAGCCTCCTGCCGCGCGCCTACTCCTTCCTCCTCCTGTGACTTTGCTGTCGCCGACAGGGACGACGAGCCCACGCCCCCCTCCCTTGCGTCGCCGGCCGGTGGTCACCAGCCCTCCTCGACCATCGCCTTGCGCGCCTCCACTCTCGCCGCGGCCTGCTCCTCCTGTCGCGGCGCATCGCGCGCTTTTACTCCCGCCGCGGCCTGATCCTCCTGGCGCCGCTAGAGGGGCTGCGCTCGCGGCCGCGCTCGTGGCCAGGCCCTCCGTCGCACCTCTCCCTCGTCGCAGGTCAGCCGCCACCCGCTGTAGTCGGGCGATGACCTCCAGCAAACGAGCCTCGATCGGCGCCCCCTGGTCCCCATCCGAGAGTCCTGTAGAACTCATATCGACGAGGCTCTGATACCAATTGTGAGAAACACGATTAATCGAACAGAAATTAGGGATGAGAATAGAAGAATCAGGGTTGAGAATTGGGAATTGAGGTGGTAATTGAAGAAGAGAAGAGGGATTAGGGTTTAGGAATTCTGATATTATGCTTGATTAATCGAAATAACAAAGACTGGAGCTTAAATAGTTCTCTCTCCCTAATAATACCCAATTGACCCAATTACCCTCCCTAGGCCGACTCGGCCTCTACACCGTGTCTCTCACACAACTCCACACCTATTCAACCCTTAGCTAATCCCAAGCTAAGCTACCACTCAATCAATCAAGTCAACACTCTTAGTTTGACTTGTTTGAAGAGTAATCCACCTGTGCAACTCCAAGCAAGAATCCCCTCTTGCTCTTGCACTAGTCCCAATTACAAATACCCTTCCTACCCTAAAACCCTACCTAGCTTGAATATCTCAACCCCCGAGATATCAAGCTATTCACACCATGAAATATGATCACACAATTTCGCTATTACAAGGGAGAAGAGAGCTTTGCAAAAAGGTACTCTAATCTACAAATGACTCTCCTATTTATAATGAAAGCAAAACTTCATTTCCTTTCATTTGTAGCCCTTTATATGGCAAGTATCTCCTTGATTTGATATGCTCTTCACTTGATATGTAGCTTCTTGAAGGCCAAGCAATTGCTTTGAATTCTTTCCTTTTCTTAGCAAATGTTTTCAAGATCTTGGTTGTGATATTTCTGCAAGAATTGTTAGTGTAAAATAATAGCACATATTCAAGACAACATATCCTAAGATAATAAATTGCTAAGTCAAGCTTTTGACTCAACAATCTCCCCCTAAGCTTGATTTAGCATCCTATTGCCGCATATGCTTTGAATTCTTTCCTTTTCTTAGCAAATGTTTTCAAGATCTTGGTTGTGATATTTCTGCAAGAATTGTTAGTCTAAAATAATAGCACATATTCAAGACAACATATCCTAAGATAATAAATTGTTAAGTCATGCTTTTTGACTCAACAATCTCCCCCTAAGCTTGATTTAGCATCCTATTGCCGCATATGCTTTTCCATATAACCATCACATATCTCAATACTCATTCAACTAATAAATAGAAACTTCAAATTATATAGACCACGATATTCATCCTGAATATAGCTCATGGTTTTAAAAGTCTCATTCATCCTAAGCATAGCTTAGGGCATTATTAAGACCATTCGCAGTAAATTTGACAAACTCGAAAAAAAAAAAAACAAGCCGAAACAGTTTCCAAATGCTCCCTCTAAGAGTCTTAACCCAACTTCCCCCCTAAACTATTGCTCTTAATTGTTTTGATCAAGATCATGATTTTCATAGATAACCACTCCCTTGGACGCATTCTGTTCTTTGAGGCGCTTAAGCACTTTCTTAGAAGGACGAGGTCCTTTGGCCTGGCGTTTAAGCTTGAATGGGCGAATAGAGGTGGAAGCAGATGCAACAATTTCCGCGGACGCGCCGCCTTCAACAGTTCCCTCTCCATTGATTCCATTTGGTGGTGCGTTGTAACTTGTAACACTCCACCCATAATCTCTATGGTTGAACCCGTGGTTCAACAGCGTAGCCAAATACTCGGTGTTACTGGTTGAACTCAATCATCTCAAACATCATATCCGATAATTAAACACACACATAAATCATTATCATACAAACTCATTATTCGAACCCCAACCCACTTATTGAATTTTACAAAACGTGGGTTTATTATTCAAAACACTCAAAGCAGAAATCATAGGTGACCATGACAGAACAATGTTCCAAACTACCTCATGATGGTAGTACAGAAGGATAGGGCAGCTTCAGTAGTCCAATCCTAGTTGCACCTGCGAGCCTGAAAACAGACGTGGGTCAGCAACTAAGCTGTGTGTGTGGATCTTTCCCACGACCTAATTTTGGGACCACAATAAGCTAATCAAACCATCATAATCAATTGTAATTTAGTACTCTAGATGCCATCTTAAATCATCATATATAAATTATCGATCAAATTATCGAATCCACCAACTCATCATCACCAAATCAATTTATCCAATAAATTAATCACATAATTTCACGAACACATAATCAATGCATGATATGAAAATTTCGGTTAATTATTAATGGCGCCAAGGTCACCATACACTTACCCTTGCTCGAGCAAATCATCATCCGTGGTGCTCATGCAACCACAACACTCAATCCGTGGTTTTTAACCACAACACTCATCCGTGGTGCTCATGCAACCACAACACTCAATCACATAAGCGAGCTAAATCTACCCACTCTCAAGGGGTGAGGGTAAGTGCAGGCCCTTTCTACATCTATGTGAATTAATATGATCACGAATCAGACCATTTCCATTTTTCTCATTCATCACAAACAATCCGGAATCAATGTAGTCCCACTGATTAACCGGTCCATATATATATTTCCCGTCAATTATCAACTCAACGTTTCTCAAAATCAACTATCCCATTATCCAATACCAAATCACATAAATCATCTCATTCTCCAGTAAAGCTACTCAGCAGTATCATATCACCATTCCTCATCCACAACTCATCAACAATTTCACGAAATAGACCCGATGCAAATAATTGTAAATAACCCGGTTGCGGTTAAAAATATCCTAAACTCAAAATTCATTTTCATTCATTAAAATCCTCACAAAATTCATGTAAATGAATTTATTGACACAAATATCCATTTAATCTAGTTCTGGTCATAAAAATCAATTTAAACAATAAAATAACAAAAATCTCGTATTAACCATTATTTTACGGTAACTTAAATTCCCACAAAACGGTAAACTTGAAAAATCACCCAAAAATACAAGAACCTCCATTTATCATCCTAAAATAGTTTTGTCCAGTTTTTATATTTTTCAACCACTCAAAACCATGAAAATAATATTACACTCGGTATTTATCGCAAATCTCGTATTAAGCTCATTTTTACCATTTTAAAGATAAAAACTCCACCAACTTTCTAATTTACCCTTTCCAGACCACAACCCATTTAAAAATCCATACTAACCATTTTAAAGTGATCCAAATCTTAAAGATAAATAAAACACATTTTTACCGAGCTTTTCGTAAAATTCACCGTTATGCAGTTTTTAATCCAGAAATCATTTTCAAGTGAAATCTTCTGTTCAATCTGCCGCAACATCATTTTACACAAACAAAAATCTCTTAGATCAGTTTTAAACTCACTAAACCCAACTTTCCATTTTTACGGCAAATCTTGTCAAATACCGATATTTACACCGTAAAATCCACAATAATCAAGAATAATCACCTAATCATCATATTAGCAACCAAGTCATCAACCACACTAATCCATCCATCCAAATATGCAAATCAAGCATAAATAATCGATGCAATAATTAAGGTCCCCTTAATCCTCACACAACTTAATTAGGTTGATTCCAAGTCGAGAATTAAGTTCTAAAATTCCAGTGGTTGGTCTCCAAAAATCCTCCTTGTTTCTATGGTCTTGTAGGCGAAAACGGTTCGTCGTTTGGACGTCAAACGAAGAAACTGCGAGCTGATCATCGTTAGTACGAAATTAGGGATTAATTCTTAATTTTCTGCTTGTCCAAAATCTGCAGAAAACTGGAAATTCCTTACCTCACGTACCAACTTCCCGGCCTTGTTTCTCCCTCGTCTGAGCTCGGAATTCAATTCCGTAAACGCTGTGATGCTCGTGGTGACTTGATCTTTGTAACGGTATCAAGTTTCGTAGCTGATACTGCCTTTAGTAGTGCTGGTTGGGTTGACGAAAAGGTTACGACAAAAGTATCGGCGAAAGAACTTCGGTGAGTTTGGTTTGACGCTTAGGATTTATAATCAGGTTCGTATGGGTTCTTGACCTTTGCTGGGATTACAGAGAGTATGCTAGATCTTTGTTATTTGTACCCTCTTTCCTTTCACTTCTAGTTCACAAATATAGGAGAGGTTTCCTCCAATGGTGGGTTTGTGGAAAGAAGAAGATGAAGGGAGGTCACCAAGCCTTTAAAGGCTATTCAAACTCATCCTCCCCCTCTTTACTCTTTGTAGGTGCCTTGAAGGCTCTTAGAAGGCCGCATTCATGTTTCAGAAGTGTAGTGATCTCCTTCCAAGTTTCCACGGTAGGCACTGCTAAATAAATTGATGTTGCTACCAGTGAACACAGTCAATAAAGGTTAAAATCAAGCAGGGTGCTTTCATTAACATAGATTATAGTTGGCGCAGCTGGTAAAGCTGTTAGCTCCTCCTTAGTTCCCAAGAGGTTGTGGGTTCGATTCTAGCAACACCCCAATTTATTTTTGCTTCAGTTTTTAATGGTTTGTGAGTTTCCGAGTGGTTTCGCGGATCCTATCTTGTATAGGATAATAACTAAATCTTTTTTTCAGCCTCGAATCCTACTATATGTCCGCCACTTGGAAAAAAAATTATCCGAGGTTCGGGATGTTACATGCGTCCACCGCGGCTTCTCCCCCTGATGTTAAATCAATGAAGGGGGTAGCCCGACAGCCCCGAGAACATCATCAAGAGTGGGACTGACAAAGTCAGTAGGGGCAAAGACAAAGTCAGTGAGAGGAACTCCCACACGATGAAGCAGCTGAGTAACCAAGCCAGCAAAAGGCAGTCCATCCGTAGGAGACTCGTTGGCAGCATCATCTATGATCGCTCCAAACAATAGATGAGGATAACTGAGAGACATGTCGGAGACAACATGCGACATAATCCAGCAATCATGAGGGATGACGACATTCAGGGAACCTGTCGGAGGGAAATACACCCTAGTGATGTAATAATGAAGAAGTTTGAGAGAATCATCCAACTCTGCAAGAGGACGATTCATAGCATCCTGGTGTAGATCAATCTTGTAGGACCAGAACTGCAGTGAACTCATAAGCTTCTTGCCGAGACAGGGAAGAACAAGGAAAACACTCCAGCCGTAGGAACCAAGCCGGTAAAAGGCAATCCAGCCGTAGGAGACTCGTTGGCAGTATCATCTATGATCGCTCCAAACAACAGATGAGGATAACTGAGAGACATGTCGGAGACAACATGCGACATAATCCAGCAATCATGAGGGAGGACGACATTCAGGGAATCTGTCCGAGGGAAATACACCCTAGTGATGTAATAATGAAGAAGTTTGAGAGAATCGTCCAACTCTGTAAGAGGACGATTCATAGCAGCCTGGTGTAGATCAAACTTGTAGGACCAGAATTGCAGTGAACTCATAAGCTTCTTGCCGAGACAGGGAAGAACAAGGAAAGCAGCAATATCTTCGATATTGAGAGTAAGAAGATTACCAAACACCAAGGTGGTGAACTTCCCTGTCTCAGGCCATCTGTGCGAAGATTTAAGTAGAACGCCCGAACTGCCGCTGGGCAGTAGACGCGAGGTGGAGAATCCCCCATTTTGAGCCATCCAAGACTGTCGATGAGGGAGATTGGATCCACAGAATCGAAGAAGGCAAAGGCATAGGGATCCAGGGTGTTGATCGACATAATGGTTTTCTCAGCAAAAATTTGCATATGTCGATGACGATTTTCGCCCACTGGATGGTGATACAGTGCATCGGTGTAGGTAAGAATACGTTGCTGGCGGCGGAAGAGGTCATTTGTCATGACAAACGATTCATCAGACAGAAGGCACATGATTTCGGGTTTAGCCAGGGAACGAGAAGGAGTGAAGATGCGGTGAGGGATGAGAAGTAGAATGGAGAAGGAGCAGTGTATATATATATATGCAGAAGCACCGGCGTTTTCGCCAGAAGAGCTCGAGGAATTCATTATCGGCGATTTGGGGAAGGAAGGTAGAAAGGGGAAGAGTGCAATTGGGAATCGATTATTGGGAAAGGGAGATTTTGGAGTGCAGGAAAATGGGATGTGGAATTGATGGGCGAGAATCGACGATGAGGATATGATTTGAAATCTTAATCGGAGAAGAAGGGGAAAGAGTTGCGCAGAGAAAGCTTCGAGACCTCTTGCTGGAAAAGACGAGGTCTTCGCGCAGCGGGGATGCCGTTTTGGTTTTCGTTGTCATTTTTTTAATATTCATTTAATTAATACTTTATGATTATGATTATTTATGTTTTTAGTGTGATTTATTAGCAAACTTTATTAGATAGGGTACTAGACCAACACAAAAGGAAATACAAAGAAGTAAACAAACAATCAAGAAAAGCAGTGTTATTAAAGCCGAACCGAGCCGCTCGGCCCGACCGGTAAAACCGCCACCCGGTCACAAAACCGGCTCGGAGCAGTCTAAAAGCCACTCCGATTTTATGTAGCGGTTGGCGAGCGGCCGAGGCGGTTAACCGTTCGAGCCGCTCGTCCGGTTTTTGACATTCAGCCACTAAATTTAATTAAAAAATTTTAGAAAATTAAAAATTGAAATAAACCAAAAACGTCGGACTCTCAAATTGAATCCTTATTTCCATTTCACAATTTCGAAGGAAAGAGATGACCTCTGATTAAGAAATGTCCACTATTTATACTAATAACGTTTATTAGATACCGGTTCTCTAACGGTTTTTAAAATGTCTAATGCCGGTTGGACCGCTAAAGTGCGAGCCGTTTGCATTACCGGGTCATGCTCTGGCTCGGTTCTGACAACATTAAAGAAAAGGTAAGTTCAGGATCCAAAACTGGAAAGATCTGATTGGAAAATCATTCCTAACTCACTACAAATAAATAGGAACTGATATATAGGGAGTTGTTTAGTAAAAATATCCGCTAGTTGATCACTTGTAGGTATAAAAGAGATAGACACGGTTTTACTCTGAACTAGCTCTCGAAGGAAATGGCATTTAATCTCTATGTGTTTTGTTCTAGAGTGTTGAACCGGGTTTTTGGACATATTAATGGCACTCGTATTATCACACAAAATGGGAACAGTAGAAAGTATAATCCCCATAGTCCGCTAGTTGAGTTCTTAACCATAGAAGTTGTTGACAACAACTTCCTGCGGCAATATACTCAGCCTCAGCGGTGGAGAGGGCCACCGAGTGTTGTTTCTTACTAAACCACGAAATTAAGGATCGATCATAAAATTGACAGGTTCCAGAGGTACTTTTTCTATCCGTTCTACTACCGGCAAAGTCTGAATCACTAAACCCCATAAGCTTAGGATTTGTTTCCCTAGGATACCATAGGCCTAAAGTAGGTGTACCTTTCAAGTAACGGAAGATGCGCTTAACGACACTAAGATGACTATCCTTAGGCTTGGACTGAAAACGAGCACACATACAAACACTGAACATAGTGTATGGCCTACTTGCCGTGAGATAGAGAAGCGAGCCTATTATCCCACGACATTTACGTCATCGACATCTATACCACTTTCATCCTTGTCTAGTTGGATATTGGTAGCCATTGGGGTTGAACTAGTATTAAAATTACTAAGGTTAAACTTAGTCAGCATAGACTGAGTATAGTTTGTCTGACTAATGAATATTCCTCTTGAAGTTTGTTGGATTTGAAGTCCTAGTAAGTAGGTAAGCTCACCCATCATACTCATGTCAAAGTTTTGTTGCATGGAGGAGGCAAACTCTACACACATAGCTTCATTGGTAACTCCAAAAACTATGTCATCAACATAAATTTGGACTACCATAAGGTCATTGCTATGTTTTTTGTGAAATAGAGTTGTATCAACAGAACCCCTGACAAACAGTTCACTTTCTAGGAATTGAGTTAGTCGTTCATACCATGCTCGAGGAGCTTGTTTTAAGCCATATAGAGCCTTTTTAAGCTTGAAAACATGGTTAGGGTACCTATGATCTTCAAAACCGGGGGTTGTTCTGCATAGACCTCTTCATGAAGAACTCAATTCAGAAATGCACTTTTGACATCCATTTGGTATATTTTGAAATTCATTGAGGAAGCAAAGGCACATAATAGTCTAATTGCCTCAATACGAGCTATGGGAGCAAATGTCTATTCCTTCTTCTTGATTGTAGCCTTTAGCCACCAATCTAGCCTTATTCCTATTAATTATCCCTTGATCATCCGTTTTATTGCGATACCCATTTAAGTCCTAGAATAGTTTTACCTATTGGTCTAGGAACCAAGTCCCATACTTGAACTCTAGCAAATTGAAGCATTTCTTATTGCATAGCAAGAACCCAACTTTCATCAACTAAGGCTTCCTTAACGTTTTTAGGTTCAATTAAGGATAAATAGACTATAGCAAGAAGTGAAAAGTAAGAAGTCTGACCTTGATACAAGTCCTTACTTGATCTTGTTTTGACCTCATCATTGATATTGCCAATGACTTGATGCGGAGGATGCGCCTTAGCAATATGAGGTGGTGCACTTGGCTCTTGGGATTTGGATAACTTATCATGTGAAAGCTCCGCTTCTTGAGTGACGGAGGTTGTTGTCGTTCGAATTAGTCCCAAATCATCCTTATCATCGTTCTGCTCTCGTTCATGCTCAGAGATATAGTCAGTTTCATAAAAAACAACATGAATTGATTCCTCGACTTTCAAGGATCTCTTGTCGAAGACTCTATAGGCTTTACTACGAGTAGAATATCCCAAAAGTACTCCCTCATCTGACTTTGAGTCAAATTTTCCTAGAGTATCCTTAGTGTTGAGTATAAAGAATCTACACCCAAATGGTCTAAGATAACCAATATTTGGTCGCCGATCTTTCCAGATTTCATAAGAAGTTTTTTTCTATGATGGCCCTAATCAATGTTCTATTTAGAACATAACAGGCGGTAGCTAGTGCTTCAGCCCAAAAATATTTTGGGAGCCTATAGTCACTAAGCATTGTTCTAGCTAGTTAAGAGCTCTATTTTTCCTCTCCAATACACCATTTTGTTGGGGAGTCCTAGGAGCTGAAAATTCATGGGAGATTCCTAGTTAATCACATAAGTTTCCAAAGTTTTCGGAATCAAACTCTCCTCCATGATCACTTCTGATGCTTTTAACACTGAGAGATTTCTCATTCTGAATATTTTTGGCAAGGATCTTGAATTTCTCAAGAGCTTCATCTTTGTGAGTCAGAAAGATTACCCATGTATATCTAGAAAAATCATCTACTATGACAAATGCATAATACTTTCCACCAAAACTCATCACATTCGTAGGTCCAAACAGATCTAGATGTAGGAGCTCTAAAGGTCTGGATGAGGTGAAGTGAGATACACTCTTGAAGGATGCTCGAGTTTGTTTTCCTAGAATACATGCATCACAAAAGAAGTCCTTTGATTATTTTAGTTGAGGGAGACCATCTACTAGACCCAATTTAGCTAATTTGGCCAATCTCTTTATGATAACATGTCCTAGTCTTCGATGCCATTGAAATTGCTTGTTCTTACCTAAAGAGAGAAAACAAGTTTCATTGAATGAAGACTTTTTACTAAGATCAATGACATAGACATTGTTTTTCCTGACCCCTAGGAATAATAGTTTATTGTCTTTGATCCTCTCAATAAGACAAGTTTCCGGTTGAAACACAACTCTATTAGTTGTACCGCATAATTGACTAATAGATGACAAGTTGTGCTTAAGGTTATCAACAAATAACACTTGAGTGAAGATAGGATTTGGAGGCTCACCAATCGTTCCAACTTCAAGTATTCTACCTTTACCATTATCACCAAAAGTTACTTTACCTCCCTTCTTAAGAGTTAATTCTGAAAAGAGACTCTTGTTTCCCGTCATATGGTGAGAGCATCCGCTGTCTAGATACCATTCATTTGCTCCTGCTCTCTTAACGACCTGCAAAATATTTAGAGTGTTGATTTTGGTACCCAGACTAGCTTGGGTACCTTTTTCTTGGAATACGATTGAAATGAGTAATAGTAGTTATTGTAGTAGCAATTTATCCTAATATGTCCTTGTTTATGACAACAATAGCATACAATTCGTGAATGACATTCTTGTTTAGTATGTCCTCTTCTAGTACACTTATTACACCTCACATTTTTCTTGCATTCTTTACTGTGGTGACTCTTTCCACAATTCATACACCTAATTTTATCATTATCTCCACCATGTGCATTACATTCAACACACATACTTGATTTATTATGAGGCTTTTGCACCTTTTCTTTAGACCTCTTTTCTTTGTCTTCTAATCGCTCTATCTTAGCATTTGCTTCGAGAAGTTTAGTTCTAGAGTCTATTATCATTCTTTCTAGTTCATTATTTCTAACTCTTATACCTTCTAGCTCTTCAAGAAGTTTATTATTATCCTTGAGTTTACCCTTTGATTTCTTCAGAACTTGATTTTCATCACGTAATGTTGCAATCTCCTCTTTTAATTCCTTAATTTCATTCTTACTTAGTTTCAAATCCTCTTTAACCTTGTAGTATCTATCTTTTAATTTTTCAAAATGATTTTGCATTTCTTCATAAGCTTCAACTATACTACTACGAAGATTTGAACCATAATCACTATCATAGGTTGGGAAGGATGAACATACCTCATCTTCGTGTGATCTTGACGAAGAGGAACCATCATCACAGTTGGAAAATGCCATATAGCCTAGTATTTCACTTTCTTTATCTTCACTTTCATCTTCTGATCCACTCCAAGCCGCTGCATAGGCTTTTTCTCTACTTCGTCCTTTGTTAGGACATTCAGCCCTTACATGGCCACTCTTTCCACATTTTTAAAATTTTGGTAACCCTTGATCTTCACACTCACTTTCCACTTTATTTTTCCTCTTTTGATTATCAAAAGATTTCACCTTTCCATTTCTATTATTCTCACGAAAATAGAAGGAACTACCCCTTCCTTGTTTTCTTTCTAATTTTAAAAACTTTTTGATTTTTTTTGAAATAAGAGCAAATCCTTGATCGAAATCATCTCCTGATCCTTCATCATTTGTGACTCTTTCCTCGCAAGCCTTAAATGCTAAAATTTTGTTTTTCTTGTTACTATCCTCATCACCTTGAGCTTTTAAAGCGATTTCATAACTAATTAGGGATCCTATCAAATTTTCAATACTAAGAGTAGATAGATTTTTAGCCTCTTCTCTAGCAGTTTTCTTAGGCATCCATTCTTTGGGTAAGCACCAAAGAATCTTCCTGACCAGCTCAGCGTTATCATAAATTTTCCTAACGCACTAAGTCTACTTACTATTAAGTTAAACCGAACATACATATCCAAAATAGACCCACCTGGGTGCATTTTGAACATTTGATATTCATGCACCAGTTGATATATCTTGGATTCTTTTACATCGGTTGTCCCTTCATGCGATACCTCCAAGGTTTTCTAGGTCTGATGTGCCGTCTTGCACCTATTCACCTTATTGAATTCATCTGGACATATCGCGCAATATAGAACATTTGTTGCTTTAGCATCTAACTCCATCTTCTTTAGATCCTCGTTAGACCATGTGTTGGGATCATCTTTAATGTCACCCACACCGTTCTCAACCACATTCCAGACGTAAAAAACCATCCCTTTAAAGAAAACAATCATATGTGTTTTCCAAAAGGAATAGTTGTATCCATCAAACCATGGTGGTCTAATATATGAAAGACCCTCCATATGAGTTGAGTTGGAACCATGATTCATAGATGACCCACTAGCCATGCTTGGTATATCGGACCTCAGTTTCCTCGCAGATCTTTCAATCTTTTTGAGGGAGCTAGGCTCTGATACCACTTGTTAGACAAAGCGAGGTCAATAATGAATACTTTTGACGTGGTCAATGCACAAATTAATTCAGATTTCAATAGTGAGAGATTAGCACTAGCTTGATTGAGCAATCCAAAAGGACTTGCCAATAATCTCTCTTGAAGTGATTAATTTGTTGGCACTGATGAAGAGAACAAAGTTAGAGAAGGTATAAAGAGAGAGATGAGTCGAGACACGTGATTTTAACGTGGTTCGGCCAATATGATTTTACATACACATCCCGGAGATAGTTACCACTATCTCACGAGAGACTCTAACTTTTATTAAAATAAAAAACTATCTAACCTATGAAATTCAAACAACCTTGACACTTCGTGTCAAGAACCAAATAGGTGCAACTCCACACCTATTCAACCCTTAGCTGATCCCAAGCTAAGCTACCCACTCAATCAATCAAGCCAACACTCTTAGTTTGACTTATTTGAAGAGTAATCCACCTAGTGCAACTCCCAAGCAAGAATCCCCTCTTGCTCTTGCACTAGTCCCAATTACAAATACCCTTCCTACCCTAAAACCCGACCTAGCTTGAATATCTCAACCCCCGAGATATCAAGCTATTCACACCATGAAATATTATCACACAATTTCGCTATTACAAGGGAGAAGAGAGCTTTGCAAAAAGGTACTCTAATCTACAAATGACTCTCCTATTTATAGTGAAAGCAAAAATTCATTTCCTTTCATTTGTAGCCCTTTATATGGCAAGTATCTCCTTGATTTGATATGCTCTTCACTTGATATGGTAGCTTCTTGAAGGCTAAGCAGTTGCTTTGAATTCTTTCCTTTTCTTAGCAAATGTTTTCAAGATCTTGGTTGTGATATTTCTGCAAGAATTGTTAGTCTAAAATAATAGCACATATTCAAGACAACATATCCTAAGATAATAAATTGCTAAGTCAAGCTTTTTGACTCAACATAAAAGAGGAGGTATATGTAAGTCAACCACTAGGATTTATTGATCGTAAAAACCCTGACTATGTTTACAAATTATCAAAACCTTTGTATGGTTTAAAGCAAGCACCTAGGGCATGGTATGAGAATTGTCTACATTTCTAAAAAATGAAGGGTTCTACCAAGGAAATGTTGATAAGACCTTATTTATAAAGAGGGAAAATTCAGACACTCTAATTGTGCAAATTTATGTTGATGACATTGTGTTTGGATCAACAAACCCATCCATGTGTACTAAATTCTGTGAAATCATGAAATTAGAATTTGAAATGAGCATGATGGGAGAACTATCACACTTTCTAGGCTTACAAATTAAACAAACAAACATAAGAGGCAAGGAAAAAGGCTGGTGATGTCGTGCGACTGGTTCTCAAGCACTATTCATGAGATGGCGGAGTGTCAAGCAATCAAGGAGGCAACCACCCCGGAGGAACAAGTCAACTTCGTGGCAAATGCTAGGGTCAACAACCCGTATAGCAATACTAATAACCCCGGATGGAGGAACCACCCCAATTTTGCTTGGTCATCACCGACTAATCCGAGGCCCCCGGGTTTTCAAGGCCCCATGAAAACAACAACAACAACCCCACAAGCTATCCAAGCTTGAAGACCTAGTGAACACCTTTGTGAGTACGAGTAGCCAAAAGTTCTAGAAGATAGAGCAATTTATTGATGTGGCGACTACCAAGTTTACCTCGGTTGACACGGGTCTCCGAAGCCATCAAGCGAGCCTCCAAAATTTGGAGGTGAAAATCGGCAACCTTGCAGGCATCCTCACCGAGAGACCCAAGAGAGCCTTAACTTCCCTAACCGTGGTGAACCCCAAGGACCACGCCGGGGTGAATGCACTGCAAGTGAGGAGTTTGAAGGTGGTCTCGGAATTCGCCACTAAAGAAGTGAAGGAGAAGTAAGATACCATCAAGGAAGATGCCAACCCGAAGAAGGGAGAGAGGAAACCCTCAAGGAGAGAAAGGAAGGCGGAAAGGAAGGCATCGTCGGTGGGGGATGTACAAGGAAAGGTTGAAGGACGAGTGTGGAGGTTTCATGGAAATGCTCCGCAACCTCCACCTCAACCTCCCTTTCCTTGAAGCCATGGCTCAAATGCCAAGATATGCCAAGTACCTCAAAGGGTTCCTCACCAAGAAGCCAAAGCTTAAAGGCCTCGCAAACGTGACTCTTGGCGAGGAGTGCTCGGCTTACCTCCTCAACCGCTTGCCCAAAAAGAGGTCCGACCCAGGTAGCTTTACTATCCCTCTTGATATTAGGAATCATCATATAGACAATGCCTTGGTAGACCTAGGAGCTAATGTTAATGTGATGCTGACACGCTACGACACAACACCTAACAATGGCCAAGTGTAATTAATGAAAGGGACTGTAGTATAGTGGCACAAGTAATAAATATCGAATCCACGGGTCTCTAGAGTTACTATTACTCAACTTCAGTTCATTATCTAGCAAACTATATTAAGGATTGATTTACTAAACTACTCTACTAAGTACTCTACTAATTACAAGTTGGGAACTCACTTAAGAATGATTCCCCCTAGCTCCTCAATTAGGTCCAAATTGCAATTACCTTTGGTTGATCTACTGTTGATTAAACTGCGGAAGATCCTAAATTAGCTTGGAATCTCTTAAGCTGACCAAGCCCTCTTAGACAGAATACCCAGCAGGCGACTAGCCTTCACCGGGATAGACTGCTAAGGCGATTCACACAGATCTCCACTACTGGAATGAATTCTAGTACAAAGTAGTGAATTGATTGACTCTCGCACAATCAATTCACCACTATCAATCAAGGAAGCTCTCTTAACCTAATCAGATTCTATCTATCATAGGTTAAAGCAGGAATCAAGAGAAGATGATCAGGCTTCAATTGACTCTATAAATCATGCCTCAATCGATTATAATCAAACAATATAGCATCCAAAACTTCATATAAGAAAGATCCTAACCCATGGAACTAGGGTTCCTCAAAACCTAAGTGAAGGGAAGTTACTCCATAGAGAAGAGAGAGACTGCAGAAATCTGATATTGATCTTCAATCTCCATCTCCAAGCTTGATTCCCGAGCTCCAATGGCAAAGAAATCCTCCAAAATAGCTCCAAGAATGTTCCTAAGTCGCTCTCTCTCTCTAGGGTTCGTTCCTTGGGTGTTTGGGATCCAAAAACCCAGCTCTCCCTCTCCTTTGGCTCGAAATTTGGCTTAAAACCAGAGATTCCCGACTCACACGGCCAGGCCACATGGCCGTGTGACTCTCCCAGGCTGCCCGTGTGAGTGTGCAAAACACAGAGTTTCGATTAAGTGACTTCAGCCATCCCACGCGGCCAGGACCCACACGGCCGTGTGGCTCCCCAGTCTGCCCGTGTGGCTTTTACCAAGTCTTCACACGGCCACAAGGGGCCCCTACACGGCCGTGTGGCTTTTGGGCATGCCCGTGTGGCTTCTCAGCTTCTCGCTAAGCGTCCAAACTTCGTCCAATCGACCCCGAGCTCGTTCCTAAACCTTCATTCACGTACTAGGACCTGAAATATCACAAACAAGAACAACCTAGCGTGAAATCGGCCTAAAACACGGGAATCGACATCTCAAACGGCTCAAGAATAGGGGTAAAAACATGTGTAATAAATGGTCTATCAGATGCCTACAAGCTTTTCAAAAAGTTAGAAGTAGGTGAACTTAAGACCTCTAAGCTTAGCATCACCTTAGCCGACCGTTCGGTCATTAGCTCGAGAGGTATTGTGGAGGACATGATAGTGAGAGTGGGAAAGTTTTGCCATCCGACCGATTTCGTGATTCTCGACATAAGTGAGGACTCGGATATGCCACTCATCCTCGGTCATCCCTTTCTTGCCACCACCAAGGCATTGATAGACGTTAATGAGGGATGGAAAGGAGAGAATCAAGCTTGAGACTGACCCTAAGGTTAGGAGTGATGAAGTGAAGGAGGTGGTTGCAAATGATGTGAATGAGAGTGGAGGAGAGCCTCTCAAGGCAAACCCCACCATTTCTTGTGTTACTTTGGTGATGTTGAGTAGGAAGAGAAGGAGGGTTCTATGCCCAAGGAGAAGAGGAAGAACGCTTGGAGGAAAAAGATGAAGGAAGCTTTGGCACGAAGGAAGGAGAAGACCAAAGCGAAGTTGGCCAATCAAGAGGGCCAACTCATGGAGCCTGAGATGGGAGGCAACAAGCCTTGCCACGAGAGTATGGTGGATCCGCTCTCGGTGGCATCATGTTCAAAGTCGTGATAGATCCCCAACCGTCAAGCTAATGACGATAAATTAGCGCTTGTTGGGAGGCAACCCAACAGAATTTTGTTTTCTTTTCCTTATTTTACATTTTAGTGTCTTGTGAAGAGTTCGAGTGGTGAAGTGGTGTCCCTGTGCTAAAAGTTGTGATTTGCGGTTTAAGGTTGTGTTGTGATCGATTAGGAGGCACGGTGGAATAGGTTGAGTCAATTTTTCTTCAGTAGTTCCCTGTTTTCCTTGAGTTCATGGACGGATTGTTGCGTTCACGATCTTACAAGACCATGAACATGCAAACGCTTCCATGAACTGGGCGCTTCTGCATGTTCACCACTTGTCGACCAACCGCAGTTCACGGCCGCGTTTGAGTTTTCACAGTCTCTAAGACCGTGAAATGGGCAACACGTCCATGAACTCAGAGCCATGCCTATAAAAGGGGCGTGAATGGCGACTCTTCACTTCACGACCAAATCTCGCCGGAAAATTTCAAATCTTTGCCGAAAAACCGCGAAACTCCGTCGGCTTTTCGATTTTCCCCCCGATTCCGGCGAGCAAAACCCAAAACCAACGTCATACCCAGTCTCCCCACCTCAAAACCGGCATGTGCTGAAATTTTGGGGAGATTTGGAGCACATTTTTTCAGCCAAGTCACTGACAACGAGCCTCCGATGAGCTTCCGTTGAAGCTCCGGGGACCCCTCTCCGGTCTGTTTTCCGACCATTTTTCACCTTCCTCTCCCGAGCCTCACTTCCTCCTACGTCCTTCTTGTGTCTCCAGGTTGGTTTTTCTACTTTACCTTATTAATTTGTGGAGAATCGGGTTAGGTAGTGAAGTGAGGTGAATTTTTGTGCGTTGCATGATTGAACCTAGATTTAGGGCGAGGAATTAGGTGAATTAGGTCGATTGAATGGTGGAATGATTTTTGCATGATCTTAGTCGAGCCTTGGTGGGTGTATTTGATCCGAATTGCTTTGATTTTTAGAATTTGTCCACCAAGTGTTATGTTATGAATGTAAGTGGAGTTTGTGATTGATTGATGGATGGTGGCCACCGTGGTTTGGGTTGTGTTTCAATTTTTTGTGTGCTTGAAAAGTGAACTACCCACAACCATGCCACAGTGAGCTTGAGCTTAAATGTTTTTATTCATGGTGGAAAGATAAGTGTGGGGGGAATTTCTTTTACTCCCAATAAACATTTTCTGACGAATGTTTCCACGTATGGTGTATGTTTGTCCGTTTGTGCAGGATGGTGAACGTGCAGCACGACTACATCATATCTGGTGAACCACCCAAACTTTAGCGATAAGTTCGCCTACCAGAGTGGCAGCCCGATTGGGCCTCACTGGCGACTGGACCTAGACATGTTCAGGTGCCGAGCCGCAATGAACGAGGTGCTCTCTCACCCCCAGTGGAGCTAGATCTTGACGATGGACGAGGAGATTTACCATGAGATGTGCGTGGAGTTCTACTCCACATTCTACCACATCGTCCCGGCCAGCAAGAAGAGCCGGCCACGGGTGGAGTTTATGCTGGGAGGTCAGCCTCGAGTACTGATCTATGACGCTTTTGCCCAGGCTATGGGGCTCGACTCCACTTACATGACGATGACGGAGCAGCAATACTCAGTCGACTTCGACTATCAGCGAGCATTCCATACCCTCTGCCGCTCCGAGCACGAGACCGACGAGTTCACGGGGAGCCACACCAACGCGGTGAAGCTGAAGACCCAATGGAGGATCCTCCACACTTTTCTCACCCACTCCGTCGTCTCCAGCAGCCAGTTCGGTCATCTGATGATGAACAGAGGGCTTGTTGCCCTGTACTCCATGAGGAGCCCTGCTGAGCCGATCCACCTAGGATCCCTGATAGCCATTTCTTTCGCCCGGTGTCTGGGACAGAACAGAGTGGACACAATGTATATGGGGGGCCTCATCACGAGGATAGCCCGACACTTCCAGGTGAACCTGGTTGGGTGCACCAACTTCGGGAGGATGACTCTCTTCCCAGTGGAGACACTCTACAACTAGAAGCTGGTGCTCTAGGGAGAGATATGAGTGGAGTACCTTGAGGGACTCCGACCTTCAGGGGTCGTTCGAGCTGCAGTTGACCCGGCTCCAGTAGAGCCTGACCCCGAGGTCCCACCACCAGCTGAGCAGCCACCTGCTCGTGCACCCGGCCGCCGCCGGCGTCCAGCACTCCAGCGTCCTGCACAACCACCACCACCAACAGTAGGTGATCCCTTCGTCCAGAGGGTGGATTGCCTCGAGACGAACTTCGTGGGATTCTCTTCCCGCCTCGACCGGCAAACCAATCTCCTCAAGCTGATGGCTCAACGCCAAGGTATCCTCCCAGATGAGGACGAGGGTTCTTCCACCCAAGAGAGGTAGCCGACGAGTGAGACATGTGGCAGAGCCGAATCCTTTCGCCCCAGTTCTCCACTTGTAACCCTGAACTTGTTTTTGTTCTTTTTATTTTTTATTTTGTGTGTTTGTGACTATGAACTACTACTATGTGTTGTGTTATGTAATAACCTCGCCTCGAGCGAGTCGTATTGTGTTTGTGTGCGTGTGTGTTTTTTGTTCCCCCATGATGCTCAAATTTCCTATCCCAGATTCGAAACCAACTTTAACTCACCAAGCCCAGCGGTAAGATCATTCTACCCCTTTCTTATGCCAATGAGGGAAATGTTGATCTTAAGTGTGTGTGTGTGTGTGGGGGGGGGGGGGGGGGGTTAGTTTACTATTATGCTTGTGTGAGTGTGATGATGCTTGGAGCCTTGATATATGCCCAATTTTCAAAATTTGAGGGCTCCAAGCAATGTTTGCATGATCAAAGTGGCCGGTGTGTGGAAAATTCTCGTGTTTATTGGCATTGATATTGAATTGTTGCATGTGATCGAGTACATCCTATGATGATGACTGAGAGGTTCATTAGGATAGTGCAAAATTTACTTCTCATGTGTGCATAAATGAATGGATGTCTTGACTCGATTACTTGTTGATTACAACTGCCATGCATCGTGTTTGTGAATTGGAATAGATGGTTGGGTGACTAGGTAGCCATGTGAGCTTTGAGCCGATCGTTTTCTTTTTGTGTGCTTAGATCCCTCTTACCATGGTGTGTAACATCACAGTTTTCACTATTAAGTATGATGGAGGCATAGGATTAGTCCAAGCCCAAATGTTGATCGTCCCGAAATGTGTCATCCCTTAGTCAACCTCTTTGAGCCTTGTGACTTTGGGGGTCGTTCTCAATTTAGGAGCTTCTTTCTTGTGAGCTTAATGGTGTTAATAGAACGACCCCCACCAATCCTTTCTTCATGTCTAAACATGAGTCGTCCTTGTGTCCCGGAGCTCTCGCTCTTGAGTTCCATTGAGGTTCTACATAGGAGGATTGTGTGCGGTTCTTGCCAGGAATGAAAAATGAAGCGTAGTGTTGGAGTGAGTCCTTCAAAAAGAGAGCATTGGTCGTTAAATGTATAGGTGGCAAGTGTTTTTACTCTCTAGTA